TCCCCCTGTATACATTTTGAAAGGCCAGGAATAATTTTTTAACTCTGGGGTCCAGGGAGGGAGAATAATACAGGAGCTCTTGCTCTGTTTTCTTCCTTCCCTACCTCTCCTATTGGATCTGCAAGGATAGTAATGCACAGATAGAAATCTAGCCCTAACCACGGTAATTGCAACTTTTAAAACACTTAAATCTTACGCCCTCCGTGCAGTTTACATAGACAAAAACCAAAATTTATAAGAAGACAATTCTGTTACTACTATGAAGAGGATATATTTCTTGTAAATTTTCAGGGTCTTTAGGAAGGAACACTAGAATCAGAAAGCTAGAAAGGGCCATAAATATCATCCAATCTAAAGTCCTTATTCACTATATAAGATAGCTGAGGTCCTAATGAGTTAAGTTCAGTGTACAAATTTGTGGAGATAAGGGAAGAACTGAGTCTAAAAACACTTCTACAATATTATGGATTTGATTAAGCATAAGCTCTCTTCATCTGGGTTAATTTCTAAGTTTCAAGATACGCAAACTTAAAAGCTCTAAGACAGATTTTTACCCAACTACAGTGTTTTAGAAACAAAATTGGACTGGCAACAAAGGGGCATACATTTTATTGCAAGACAAGCTATTAATTAGCTAAGTTAGCTTAGACCAATCATCTCAATTCTCAGACCTTCAGTTGTAAAACACCATAAAACAAGGGATTTGTCCAAAATGCCTTCTTTCATATCTAAGATTGTATCATTTTGAAATTAAGGGATGGTTGGTCTAAAATTATGAGTTTTTTAAATCAGGTGCCATCATTCTACCTCTATATCTACCATCTCCAACCCTATGGTAAGAGACCTTTCTTAAGGAAGACACCATTCCTTCAGAACATGTCTCTACAATGGTCAAGATCAGATTAGAAAGAAACGGTTGGTTTAAAAGTGGAAGCTTCGTAGTCATCAACATTTTAAGGCCAGTACTATAGAGGTTAGTTATTTCCTCCTATATATCTTCCCTAAAATTGGTGCAGGCAAAACCCAAATCTTAAATGAGTGACAAGGAAATAATTTTACCTTCACATTAACATAGCATGTGATCCAAATACTTGCTTTTCTTTTCTGAAAATATAATCTATTGTTAAAGTCACAGCTAAAGTGTTTAGTTTAAGAAATAAAGAAGAAAGTGACTCTAAGATGTTCAAATTAAAATTGAATCAGATCCGCATTTTGTGATTATTTTCAAAACAACTAAATTGTCTTATTTTAATAAAAACTTTTTCTCAAAAAAGTTTATTGTTGTTCTATTGTTTAGGGTTAGCCTTGACTATAGTTTCCTACAGCCTTCTCTAGGTGCTTTGCACAGGATCGGCACAGTGTCCCCATAATTTCTTATGAAATTCTAATGCCATTCAGTAGGAGTGATTAAATAGTAATCTTCTAAGCTGCCTCTGCCTTGAAAATGTTTAACATTGTCACACAAAGTGTCATTGAAGGTTATGCTTCACCTGCACTCAAACAAGAAGTAACTCTTCCCACATTTGATTCCCCTTTTATCATCTATTGCATATGCCAGAGGTGTCTCAAACTCAGGATGTCAAACAGCAAAATCCTCTTACTTTACCCCAGATCGGTGCCTTTGTTCTGAATATCACCACTGTCCACCGTGATGTCTGTGCTGGAAACCTGGACATCATCTTTGATGTCCTTCCTCCAATGAGTCCTAAAAATCCTGCCTCCAATTTTCTTCCAAATCCTGGTGCTTCTTGTTATTATTCATTTTTGTGTAGATTACTACGCGAGTACTCGAGGTGACGGTGGTAGTAAAACAAGTAGCTAAGGACTATTGTCTTGTCAATACCTCTTAACTGGTGCTCACACTTCTGATCTTGAGTCAAAAAAAATGATTTGTTATGAAAGACTTGAGTCCTTTACACCCTGCTTTATTGTAGAAATTCAATTTATTTGGACAGGTCCAGCATATAAAAGAGGAATAACTTCCAGAACCAATCCAAATTCTGTCTTATGGAGCCATTTGTGATCTGGCTTTTTCTTTTCTTTTCAGCGTCATCACTCATTTCTTTTCCACATGCCTGCAGCTCCCTGGGCCAGGCCTTCTGAATCTGCTCCTGCTCTGAACCAGTAAAAACAACCTCTTTAGGTCCTTTGAGAGTAACATGTTCTGTATTTTAGAGAGCATGCTCTCTGTTAAGTGTATCTCTGCTTTCAAAAACAATATGGACTTCTCAATTAAAAAAGAAAGTCTGAAGTTTGTATTGTAATTTGACATTATGTATTAACACACCTAAAACCTTTCCCATACTTTAACTCAGTAAAATTGTTTCTGAACAACTAGCCTAAAAATATAATGTGGGCGTGGGCAAAGCTTTGTGTGCAAATATTCATTCCAGCGTTGTTGATAAAGGTGTGTTTTCTTTTCAATGTGGCTTCATGGTCAAAAGTTAAAGAAAAATTACTTATAACTAATCTGACACAAATGTTACCAACAGTGGAGAAATAGTTAAGTGAATGATGTGTCTATTAATACAACCATAAAAATGTATGTTTACAGAGAGCGCATAATGGTATGTTAAAGTGCTTATAACATTACCTGCAAAAGGAGTAGAAAATGTATTGTACAGTAATTGTACATAATTATATAATTTAGATACTTAAAACCTACTAAAAAAAATAATCATGGAAGGAAAAACATCGAAACGAATGCTCCAAAAACTTTCACTGTTTGTTTTTTCTCTTTTATATCTATCTTTAGATATTTTCCAAATTGTATCTAATGTACATACATTGCCTCTAAAATTAAGGAAAAACATCACTTTATTCAGGGGGTTCACGAGGTGGAAGGAGAGGAAGAGAAAATAAGCCTGGAGGTGGGGAGAGTTGCATAAAACTAAAGTATGCGTAAGGCCCCACCCAACGTCTCAAACTTGCTGATCAAGACGATGACATTAATATTCCCTGCCAAGTGCTCTCAAGTGGAGTTGGTATTTGTCTTTTAAGCTCATTCTGAGCTTGGTATTGAGAAATACCAGTAAGAAAGAGGTGTTTTCCCTCTTGCTTTAACTCTATTCAGCAAATGCTGCTTCTCTCCCTAACTCAACCACCCCCAAACCACAGGTTCCCACCACCTGTGTGGCCTGTTTGTGAGCAAGGAAACAGAGGAGCCAAGAATTCTCACATAACCATCACCAGGCCCTGGGAGGGGCAGCTCAGGCTGTGAAACAACATTCCGAGAGTTCTTTGTCAGCTACAGAAAAACTCTCTCTGGCATCTGGGGCAAACATAAAGTGTCATTTAGGTTCTTTGTAAGCCACAGAAACCAAATGTGGCTAACTTAATCAAATCAAAGTTGATTGGAAATTGAGGCCTTTACAGAAGGAAAAACTAATCCTGCCTCCTGGAAGACAAGAACCAAGGAGGCACTGAATTCCCCATCAGAGCCTCCTGGGCAATTCCTTTCTGGGCACTGCCATCTAATGACTCAGTTTCCACCATGACCGTCTTGAGTCCTCCACTCGGAATTAAAGTTCCTGGGGAGAAAAAGTGAAAGGACTGTCTTTGACCATGTGCTAATCTCCTTGGCCAGAAGAAAAGAGATACCCTGATTAATAGCCCCACCAGGATCTCATGTCATAGATGCAATTCATTCCCCAAAGGTAGGATGACCACATGTTGGCGTTTGCCCTAGACAGACCCAATTTATAACTGTTTTTCAGGAATAACTATAAATAGCATCACTTTTACTCACAAAAGTGTCCAAGTTTGGATAATAAATTGCATTATCACTCTACACAAAGGAAAAATAGGGCATTGTTACCAAAGAGGGGGAAGTGATGCTGAGCAGATGAAAATAGCTACCATTACAATGAGACTATTAGCAGGGGTCAAAACAAAGTGTTTTGCTCCCAATCTTTCAGGTCAAAAGATAAGAATCAGAGCCAAAGCCCTTATCAGTCTTTTGCTTTTGACTCCAACATGAAAATAACATTTCTATCCTCACTCCCTATGTGTTGAATTATTATGACTTTGACCCAATGGTTCCATTGCCTTGTCTTTGTATGTCCTTGCAGCTAAACCCTTGAATGTTAAAGTGTTCTCTTTTACTGCTGCTTTTTTAGCTTAATTGGTGCCCTCCTGCTTTCCAAAATAGAATGCTAGCATCCATTCACCCAGCTGGAGGGTCAGGGTGATACCAGATCCAATATTCCCCAAAGCGTGTGTAGGATGGTTGCTGCACTCCTGCTGCTGACTAGTAATAAGGAGTCAAATAGCGCCTTTTGATTCTGATTTCCTCCGAGAGGCTGCTCTACAAGCATGGGGTCAACTTAAAGGAAGAGGGATTTTTGTTTAATATTTTCTCCTTTCATTAGTGCACTTAAATTACTTTCTTGCAAACTCTGCTTGTTACCTAAATGTACTAGCACTTTTGTTACCTAATTAGCTTTCTTATCGGAAATCCAACCAAAAATAACAAGAAATGTAATAATGATAAGGTATCCTGCCCCCTCGAAGCAGATTTCCTTTCGCGCTTTATCTCCTGGCTCTGTTCTGGCTTGTTTAATTAAAGTATCAGAAATTATTAGATTCAAATTATTTCTTGATCTAGTGCTCAAATTCTCCAGAAAAGCTGCTGCTTCTGCCTCAGTATTTAAACCTTTATCAGCGTGAGGCAGATGAGTTTCCACATGTATGCAACTGGATTCAGGGAATTCGATATAACTTTGGAGGGAGAGCCTAATTTAGCCTCTGAGTAATTAGACAAACAAATCAGATCTGGCTACCCGGGGCCACCATGAACATTAAACACTCATGGCTCCTCTCCTGTGTGCCTGGGTCATCAAAACGAACAACATCAGTGTGCAAAAAACCTATGAAACTTCAGCGTGGAGTTGTGAAATTCAAAGCAAAGATCTCATTCATTTTTTTCATTAGCGAGGTAGAGGTAAAAAAAATCACCAAGTTCAAACCACTGACATAAGTCATAGTCAAGGAGGGTAGTCATGTCTGTTGTAGACTTTAACATAACGGAGGCGAAATCCCCCTTAAATCACGGCATTGAGAAGGGGGAAAATATAAGATGTCTTGGTTGCTTCTCTTCATCAAACTCTGTGAAAAAAATTCGTGTTGGGGTCTGCTGGCTTCTGGTGGAGCTGTGTGAGAGGTTCACTTTCTTCGAAGTCGTCTGCAACGTGATCCCCTTTTGCACTGCCCAGCTTGGCCACCACAGCCACCAGGCAGCCATTCTGAACTTGTGCTTTATCGGAACCTCGATACTCAGCCCTGTGTTTGCGGGATGGTTTGCTGATGTCTGTCTAGGAAGAAGCAAACTGGTATATTCTTGCTTATTTCTGCATTTTCTAGGTGAGTGTCCTCTCCTGACTGGATTGTTTTGCAACTTAATTGAATGGCTTGTCGTTAGAATTTTTAGTTTATATTATTTCTACCTTGCTCTTAGGGTAAAGTGTGATTAATGAAGCAAGAATGCTGTTTCGATTTATTTCCTCTCCTGTATTATTTGAGCGATGCTGGGAAGCGTGTGTGTTGGAGGGTGCTTTGATACCTATGTCGTTGCACTGACTATGTTTTATAATAATTACCGCTTTACATTTCTGTCTTTCGTAGTCCTTAGAACACCTCCTTCACCTGCTCCTATCCCAGGTCCAAACTCATGACAAATGCTGTATGAAACTTGAAGTTCATTTACTTCATAACTGAGATGAAATATGCTAAGAAAGTCTTTGAAGTTCATGTAGAGTAATTGAGAAATATTTCCATCAAATGGTGGTCTTTTAATTAGTCAGGTAATAATTAAGATTGCACACAAAGATGTGTTTTCTATATCATGAAATACGGCTGTATGCTAAAAAAAATTGAATGAATTCAAACCCTACACTGTACCTCTTTACATAGAAAAAAATAAATGTATCTAAACTTTTGGAAGTAACAAGAAATGTTGGGGAAGTACCAGAATTGTTTGAGGTAAAGTGAACAAGTTGATAAACAGTCTGGAATTTTAGACTGAAAGGTTCGAATTGTTCTAGACAACAAGGACTCACTGACGATCTGAGGAAAGCATCTGGGGAATGCTTTTCTTCAATAAATAGGATGGTCCAGCACAGTGAGAGGTTAAATAGAGAGAAACCAGAAAATCTCAGGAGGGTGGTCTAGCCAACAGAGAAGTGTCAACCCAGGAGAGGCCGTGAAAAAAACAAAAACTAGGCAACTAAATTAGGACATAAATACGACGGAGGAACAAAAATCAGCTCCAAGCTCCTGAGTTGAGGAGCTTAGGAAGGTGGCGCGTATGCTATTCAGCGATATAGAGAAGTGCGGCAGAAATGCAGGTTTGGGGCACAGTGGGAGAGGCGAATGAGGAAGGGATGGGTGTCAGATATGCAACATCTCCCGGTCTCAGGCAGGTGGCAAAGTACCACTCGCTGAGTGGATTAGAGTGTGACACAAACTCATAAGCTTCTTCGCTGCTTCAGTCTGTGGAATAAAATCTAAGTCACTGCATGGCAAATATTCATTCACCGTTCAACAAATACTTCTCATTGACTACTCCAACCCAGGCATTGTTCTAGAATCTGGAAATGCAACAGAGAAGAAAGCAGTCTCTTCTCTGCCCAAGTAGACTTTCTGGTGCAGGGAGAGAGAAATATGTAAATAGATACTATGCCAGGTGTTAACGAGTGTCACGATGAAAAATACGCTGGGTAAGGGCACAGGAGAGACTAGATAGTCACAGGATGCTATTCTGTATCAGGGAATGCTTTCTGATAAGAAGACATTTAAGCAAGGGCCTGAATGATTTACTCTTAACTTGGTAATAGGCCATATCAGTAGCATTTGGTAACTTCTTAAGATGGTCATTTCTGCCTGGCCGGGCGTGGCTCAGCCGTTGAGCATTGACCTAGGATCCAGGAGATCGGGGTTCGATTCCCGGTCAGGGCACATGCCCGGGTTGTGGGCTGGGGAGCCGATCAATGACTCTCTTATCATTGATGTTTCTCTCTCTCCCTCTTCCTTCCCTCTCTTTGAAATCAATAACGATATGTTTAAAAACAAAAACAAAACATGGTCATTTCTATTAGTCTAAATTCCTATGCAAATCATCAGAGTAGGACTGAGCCTCAAACTTTGCAATTTAGCAATCAAAACACCTAAATCAAACTCCATGTCCATTCATTTATTTATTTATTTTTACTAAAAGTTATTTCCTGTGTCTATCACTCACAGCTGCCAACAATTTCCAACCAGTCACTAAGTATCAGAGGTTCTATCAAAAATGTATCTTCTGTCTGAATTGCTAAAACCATAGCTCAGAGAGGCAGTTTTCTTTCATTGACCATCACAATGGCTTATTTACTGGGCTCAGCTATCACTGTGACTCTAGTCCATATACCTTTCCACCGGTAACATTCACTATATATTGGCTCTATTATCTAAAAACTAAAATCCAATTTTGTACATAAGAACCCTTACAGTCTGTCTTGAATTTACCTCTATATCACAACCACCCTAAACTCCCCCTTGCCTACTTCCTGCTTTTCTAATCTTACACATGCTCTTTCCTATGCCCAAAATTGTCAGCCTTCCTTTATCTTTCCACCCCATATTCAAGACTTAAAAACTGCTCTTCCTTCATGTCCCATGTACTGTTTATTGCTCACTTCTCTGCGCTCAACCACACTCTGATCATACCTATATGATCGCATTTACCACCTCACGATATAACTGCCACCTGCATGTCTGCCCTGTCTTGGACTCAGCTTCTCAAGAGAAGAGCCAGTCTCTCAGTCCCCACCTCGCAGGGGATATGACACATCCTGCTGCTTTACACAAAACCACCAAGTCCTGGCATGCGGAGTATGCAGTGCACAGTAGCCTGCACCATAGGCTTTTAGTTACATCAATTTTGTAGCATATAGAAATAAAATTTTGATCTAATGAAATCAGTATATGATGACATAATCTTAAAAGATGGAAGTGCCTTTCTCACACAAAGGAACAACTAACAGTTCTTTGTCTTGACATAAATGGTTGCTGCAGGAAGCAATTCCTCCACCCATTCCCTTTGGAGAAACTTAGCCTGGCCAGGCCTCACTTCAGCCTTCCAGAGACGAGCACTGAGTGGCAGGGAGAGAGAGCAGTTGGTTTGATGTAGGCTAACCTTGATAGGAAATATTTCAAGCTCAGTAGTTAAAAGGGCCTACCCTCATGATAAATCAACCTGTTACCAAACAACTATTGCATGAATATATCCTTCACATGGTGAAAGCCACCGAATCGTTAGAACCACTTTTTGCATTAAAGGAGCTTGTAGCCTAATTGAGAAAACTAACCATACAAAATTTATACCAAAAATATGAATGCCAAATTAATCAAATGGGGGACAAAAGCTAACATGCAGATGCCATTTTTTGCTAATCAAATTGATTTTTTTTAATTTTTAATGATTTGACCACTTGAAGACAGGAATTCCAAGAAAAGGGAGACTACACCTGAGTTTACTTGGTAGCACTGAGTAAGTCACTTAACCTCACTGAACCTTCCTTCCTTCCTTCCTCCCTCCCTTCCTTCCTCCCTCCCTTCCTCCCTCCCTCCCT